TTTTTTATCAACTGTAATTAAAACAGCCACCTCCTTTTACTCAGTTCTCAGCATGTACTTACACAGCTATATCTACACTACTTAATCCCACCAGGAGCATCTTTGTAGCCCTACCTGTTTGTTACCTAACTCGGCTGTAGAAGAATGCAAGAGAAATGGAAAACCAGGTTTACAGGCCTTAAAAAAAAAAAAAGAATAGAACCCACTCTGAAATATATGGTTGCAGAAATTAAATTACCCATGTTTCCTCCTTTCCCACTGAATCAATAGTCGCCACATTAATAGATTGGGATTCTTTTCTTATTTCAATTTCTTGCTAAAAATTCAGCAGAATACAGCTGGGGAAACTGGGGTTGATGCATAATCCAGGAACCTGACACCTTTCAAAATTATTATTCATGGTTGCAATGAGCTATCTTGAAGGAGAGAAGTGAGGACTGCTCCACTGAGCATGTTCTTATTTTGTGCCCTCATGGGCTTCTATGTTCGAGGGCTCCAACCTGCAGCTTCCTTCAGGGGAGCTGGGTTTGCTCAGCCATGTCACCTCATGCATGGCCACAGTTTTTACCTGGCACAATCTTCATACAGAAAGTTGAGCATTTAGTCAGATACCAGGTTGAAAGAGACACCCAAGCAATTACTCTCTTAATTCACTAATACTTCTATAATGTGGCTTTGCAGTGATGAGTCTTTTTGTTGCCTCTGACAGCAGATGCACACAGCAGAGTCAGGACTGGGAAATTTTGAAACACGCACAATCCAAAATCACAAGAAAGGATGAAGAGCTTTTAACAGCCCGCTTCTTACATTCATAGACCTTTGTTTCCTTCTCCTCAGTGATGTTAAAACTATAAGATATATACATATATATACATGTATTTCTGACAATGTAGTTCAGCCCAGGAATACTTCCTATTGGTGAAAACTGACATAGAACAGAACTAACTCTGATTTCTGTGCAAGGAATCATGTTCTCAGTAGATAGTAGAAGGCAACTACCTTAGTGCTACTACAGGAAACAATGAGTTGCAGGTAAAGTAATTTACAATTGATGTAAGTTATCATCTGTATTAAGCAGTAGTGACAATTTTCATTTTTCACAAAAGTTTTGCAGAACTAGTATCAGCTAATTTGCTAAAAGACTTAAAAATTAATACAAAGTAATGAAGACATGAGTATCTTATATAAGCACAACCATTTAGTGCAGCAGCTAAACATGAAGTCTGCAGAGACAGTTCTCCAAGGAAGAAATAAACTTGATCAGAAAAGCACTAACTCTGGTATCTGAAGGAGAAATGTGAACGTACCAGTTGCCTATATGGCAAGTGAGTACTGAAAAATGAAGAGACATGTTGTGGCTTGCCCTTAGAGGAGTGAAATTTTGCCTCTTGTTAGGTGCCTTTACCAGTGTGTTGTCTTTCCTGTAGCTTTTCTTCAATGCTATTTGTCTTCAATTACAGTTTTGACAGCTAAAGTCCCTTTGCTATTCTTCACAGCAAAAGCAAGGTAGCATTAAAAGTACCATTTGGGAAGACCAAAAAAATCACATAGATTCTACCTAAGTTGCAGCTCCCCCATTGTTTCTCGCTAATCCCTGTTTGCCAAATTGGCCTTTCGGGGATTCAGAAGCAGGTAGCATGTATGACGAACCCTGTATCTCCAGCTACTCACCATGCTTGGGAGGAATACCCAAGGAAAACACCGGTTTCTCCAATATGGTGCAAGAGATGGGGAAGGGAAGCATGCTCTCAAACTCTCGACTTATTATACAAACCTTTGCATTTTCTTTCTTTTTCATTTCTGCTGAATTCGGCCAGCCCCCAGCCAGCCCCCCCGCTCTGCAGCATTTCCTGTGTACTTTGATTCAGTGTTCAAATGTTCACGAAGCAGGTTCACATTGAGGTTTGTCCCTTTGTTCTCAGAGGTTTGCCTGGCTGTTGCCTTTTACTATCTCTTCTGCCTCTAAGAAAAACTGATGTTATCTTCTGAAGAGAAAACTCAAGGTTTCTGTTTGCAACTTAGGATTTCCTGTGTGCCTATTCCCCGCCTGTGCAGTGATGGTGAGGAGTAGCTTTACATGGCCGCACTTCATCACAGAGCTTTCAGAGCAGTCCTTGCACAGAAGGTGAAGAAATCCCCAGCTACTGGTGCCTTTGATCTCAGATAAAGGTCAACCTGTCTAGCAGAAAGCGTGATCAGAAATGCTACCTCACATCACCCTTCACTTTCCCTTCCTTACCCTGAAGTGATTCCCTGTACTTTTCAGGGTACAGGTTTTTACTTCAACTCTTTGGAGCAGCTTTACTTCATCTCATGCACCAGCTTAAGCCAGGACCACCAAAATTTTCAATGAGTTGTTAAGAAACTGTCCACAATGCTTATTATTACAGCAATGTTTAATAGCTATTGTAGGATTTTGTTGGTTTACTGTTTGGGGATTTTTTAATACATGTAGGCTTACTAGTGTGTTAAAAATTTAGTTATACTCGTCTTATCCCAGCAAGCACATACTGTTTCCTTACACTGAGAGTTTCTGAGGGGACTGCTGTGGGTCCTGAGCCTGCAAACACTAACACCTTCAAAGTTCCACCCAGCGCAAAACTTTTGGGAGCTGCAGGTACCAGTTGTTTCTCCCAATACCCACCTCTGCAAGATTACACTGCACGTCTCCTGGGGGAAATACATCACTTATGCATTCTACAGGTAGCAGTTTCATTTATACTTTCGTTATAAATGCTAACATAACATCTTTTTTTTTTAAATGGCTTTTGAATCCCTCTGTAACTTCAGAAATGTTGTTACAGCTGTGAAGATTGGTTGTTAACTGACAAATAACTTGCACAAAGGCAAATGTTCTCTGCTGAGTTTCCTCAAAGCCATATTGGCTCAAGATAGTTATCACCACAGAAGATGAGTGATGGGAACAGTAAATATTGAATGCTTCAAGTACAGGCTGTTTGTCACCTCCTCTGTCTGAAATGGTACTCTGCTGATACATGGGATAGTTCTTACTCTTCGTAGACTAAGCCACCTTGTGCTGCTTAGAAGGAGCAGTGAAGTTCCAGTGTCTGGGACCGAGTATGTGTCCTCCTTTTTGACCAGGATCTGCACCTTAGCAGGGCCTAGGAGATGGCGCTGAGGGGGAAATGCAATGGTGTTCCCAGGTGGGATGCAACATGGAAGCAGCATTACTTGTTACTGATAGTGGGAGGATCGTAATTTATCCAATTAATCTTTACAGAGGTGTAGTTCACTACCTATAAAGGTCAGTCAAGTGACCTAGAGATGGAAGTTGCTTCTGGGTGTGGATTAGGGAGAAAACCAAACAAAACCCAATGATAGACTTGCCTTTTATTCTGTACAATGAGCCTTTCGGCACACTGAAGCTTGCAGGAGGAGAAGTAGCATATGACTGCAGAAGGTGGTGGTTATCTCCAGTACATGATCCTCAAAGTGAGAGTGGAAACAGGGACTGAATCATGACTATCAGCCATCATTCAGTCTCTTCAAGCTCATTCTGGGAGGTTTTTCAGAATGATTAACTTTGGGCATAGAGGGCTGGTCTCTCCTGACTTGTTGGTGGGGGAGACAGACACCTTTGGATCACGGTTTGGAGAAGGAAAAATAACTTGGGTGCATTGGATTCCCGTCTGTGTGTCAATCCTCAAATTAAGGTGGTGCCAGGATGTAGTCATAAGGTGTGTCAACCCTCTTCCAAGTTTCCAGTTTAAGCTCCAGAATTTTAGCTCTCCTTTCTCTAACCACAGCTTCTCGCTACTGTAATTTCCAAGAAAAATCTAATGAGATGACTTGCATGACATGCAGGCATGTTTGCTTGAGTCCGTGGAGAGCCTTCTGACATAGCTGTACGGTTTTCCTGTGTTTCGGTGAAGTGTTCATTCAGGTGCCAAGTGATAGTAAACCACTGCCAGTATTCTTGGTGATTTTACTGACCCATTTAAGTGCAGTTCTGTATTCCTAAAACCCAGCTCTTAGGCTTGGCATCAGTTTATTAAGGTAGTATGGGCTTTAGAGATGTGAAAGGAAAAGCAATGTTTTCACAGTAGTATCCTAGGAAAAAGACACACAAACTTCTGTAAGATGCCAGCCAGTTGCTAAATGCCAGTATTCTTGGTCATGGAGCCAAGCCTCACTGACAAGGTGGGCTCTGCTCTGTGACCCACCACGGCTCACCTACAGCTCACCTGCTGCTGCCTCTGTTGATGTTGCTGCAAGAACTGTGTATCACCTACCTACGTAAATGCAGTGTCTTTTGCTTTGTCTTTATTCAGAACAGAGTTGCTTTGGGGAAGAAAGCTAAAATATAGCAGACAATAGATTTGCAGGAAGTGCTGCTCTGCAGGAGTGATTTCTGTTGGTTTTCTTAGTAATTTTTGTTCTTTGCTAGGGATTTCTGCAAATTTGAGCTGTGACAGCTTCCTCAGTTTTCCAGCAGATTTCACTGGAAACAGGTTTATACTTTGTGCTTGCAGTGTGTCTGAGAATGCTTTTGAGGAGCAGTCACCTTTTCTGCATCCCTAGCAATATGAATGCTAAATTGGGATAATTTTATGACCATTTTTATGCTGCTGTTTGTCACTTGAGCCTCTGTAATTGGAAGATGGCATTTATAGTTTGTCTATACTGGCCATTGGTTAATTACAAACTTAGAAGTATTAGTGATATTCTGTATATAACCTTTCATGCATCAAGATTTTATTTGATAGAGAAATACGTGATTGAAGTAAAGTTTAGTGACTACAGTTTAGTAAAGTGACAAATAAATTTATATATATAATTTGCATATTTTCTTTCCAAGCCTAGTGTAGTTTGATGGAAAAAAATAACTGCACTGCAGCCATGAGTGTGATCTGGGTGGACAGAATCGGTCACAGAATACCAGCATTGTACAAGTTCGTTCTTGTTTTAGGGATTATTTGCTTCTGGGTGAATGTTGCTGCTAAGTAGCTCCACACACACATATATATATATATATATATAGGCAAAATGTGGGAGAATATGATTTTGGGGAAAGATATTGTAAAAAGCCATTTAGAATATTGCAGAGAAACTTGGGGCTACAGCGGTGTTCAGCCAAGCACTAGAAAGCTCAACTACTCCAAGGCATAGTATGTTGTTGTAAAATAATTCTCAGACTTTTGATTTCTTCTTACGGCATTTTTCCATGTTCTTGCAGTTGCCTTTTAATACTCTTTAGGCACTTAAAAAACCAAGCAAACCACCCCCAACAATCATCAAAGATAATATTTGTCCATAAAAGTAATGGGTCAGAAGGCATCGCTGTGCTCTCTTCAGCACTGTGGCAGAAATGCAGTGATGACCTTTGGATGGGACTTCCAGAGTTTGGGATGGGAAGGTGGCAGAGATGGACAACCATGTGAATTGTGCAGTCCCTCGATGCCACTTGCAAATGGGTCAGAAAAGCCGTTTCCTATCACAGGGGTAAACACTTTCAGAAGTCCTCGGCTAGCTCTTTGTTAGGCTGAAAGAAGCAGAAACTTTTTATGGCTATAAAGGAATAGCTCTGCCACCTGGCTAGACCATGCTTGAAGGGCGCTGGTGCTAAAACACATACCGGAGCCTGCGGACTCGAGCCCCACGGCCTAGTCTCTGGTCAGCAGGTACGCCTGTATCAGCGCATCCTTCCCCGGCCGCCGTTCCTCAGCCCCGCGGCAAGGCGGCCGGCCCTCCGTCGTGTCTGCCGCCGTACCGGGCCCGCTCCCACCTCTGCCACCTGCACTGACCCCCGCCGGGCCCGGGTCGGCCTCTCCCACCTTCCCCCACGCCGATGAGGCGGGTGCGGCACCCGCTCCCCCGCGCTCCCCCTGCCGGCCGGGGGCGGCGCCGGGGCCGAAGAGCCGCGGCCGCCAGGACAAGCCCCCGCGGGGCCGGGAGCCGCCAGCCGAGCCACGGCCGCGGGGCACGGGTTCGCTCTCCGCGCACATACGCACCGGCGCCTTGCCGGTGGGGCCGCTCGTCCGGCGAGAGTGGCCGGTGGCCGTAACCTACGCGAGAGCGGCTCCCGGGAGGGCGGGAAGTCCACTCCGGGATTTCGGGGGCGCCGCGGAGTGACACATTGACATCACGGGGGCGCGGCCGCGGGGCGGGCGGGGGCTGCGCGCTGAAAGGCGGTCGGGCGCGGCCGCACTCACTTTGGGACGGCGCGGAGCGGGCGCGGGACTACGCGGCTGCCTCCACTGTCTGGGGTGGACTCTGTGCTGGGGCTGCCAATGTGCCCCGGGGAGCAGGCGCTCACCTCGGCCGTAGGTAAGCCCGGGCGGTGCTCGCCGCCTTTCCTCCCAGCCGCTCAGGTGCCGGGGGTGTGGGCGGGCGGCGAGGGGCTCCGCAGCCGGCGGGCGGGCGAAGAGCTATGGGGCGGCCGCGGGGGGAGGCGAGGCAGAGCAGAGCGCTGCCTGGCCGCCGCCGTGTGGAGGTGCGGGCGAGCGGCGGACTGGCCTCGCTCGGCGCCACACGCCTGGCTTTCGGTGCGGGGCAGCGGGTGACCTGGCTTCCTGGGCGAGCAGCGTTCAGCTGCATTTTGCTGGTAATGATAAAACTTGCAGTTCTGTGATTGCCTGCCGTGCTTAACGCGGGGTCGCGTTTGAGTGCTGGAGCCTTGCTTGATCCCCGCGAAATGCGAGGAGGCTCCGGAAATCTCCGTGCGAGGGTTTCTGTGTTCTGGGCTGCCCGGTCTTCTTGACGCGCTGCCCGTGCTTCCAAGCCTGTCAGTCAGTCGGGCAGCCTCCGGCAGCAACAGCAAGCACATGGCAGTTTGCAGCGAGCTTGCAGAGCCATTGCGCTCTGCTTTCGTTTGCAGCTCACCGGGGTGCGCATTGAAAGCGCGTGTATTGCAAGCAAGTGCTTCTTCGTGGGTGTTTTACCTCCTAAAAGTTAAATAATCTTGCACTAGGGGTTGTGGTCGCGCTTTGCCCGAAGGGACTCGCGACGAGGACCGTGCAGTGAAGCCGGGCCCGGGAGGGCTCGTCAGGGACTACCCCCGCCGGGGAAGAGAAACCACGGCCCGAGCAGGAGCCCCGCGTCCGCCTGCTTGGAGACCTTCTTCAGTGCCTGACCCCGCTGTCCGGCGCTAGAGCGAGATAAACTGCTTGCAGGGAAACGGCTCGATCTGTTCCGCACCGCCTCCAGACCGGGACCCTCGCCGCCGAGGGACAGAGCTGCGTCCCTCGGGGGTCTTTGGCTCGGCGGGAGAGCGCGTCAAGGGAGCGCGGCCCGCTGAATGCTGACCCCTGAGCCAGGAGTACTGCGGCCCGCAGCATAGTTGGATTTTCCTCCGCTCGCCGAATAGGACGTGAAGGTCGGCGAGGGCTTTGCAGAGACGAGGAGCGCAGCACGCCCGCCTTCCCCCGCCCGGCGGGGCCAGGAGGGCCAGGGGTCGGGGACGCGGCCCCATCGTTACCCTGCCCCGCGGAGCTACCTCCCTCGCACGGGGGATTTCCCATCACTAGTGACTCCTTGGAAATAAGTAAGTCGGGGGCTCGTCGCGCTTTACTTTCGCACCGGGGCATTCAGCCTGCGAGCAGGTGCCGCCGGGCGCACAGGCGCGGCGCCTGCTTGGCGGGGCACGAGCACCGCGGCCCCACGCCGGACCCTCTTCCCAGAGAATGGAAAGCGCACAGGGACCGGGTTGCGGCGAGCGGAAACGGCCCGGCGCGGCGGGTCGGGGGGTGTGACAGATCCCGCGGCACCGGTGCCCTGAGGGGACGTGTGGGGGTCTGCAGTGTTGTGCTCGTGGGACTGAACGTTGAGGGCGGGCGGCTGAAAATGAGCAGAACGGTGAAAGCGACCCCAAACACACCCTCGGGCGGCTCCTGGCGTGGGATGGGAGAGCAGCCCCTGAGGTGCTGTGGCGGGGAATCCCGGGCGCTGCAGTGGCCGGTCGGCCGGGTGCTGCCGCTTTAAATGCCGAGAAGTCCGCCCTCCTGAGGCAGCGCCGACCTCGGTCCTGCCCTCCCTCCTCTCAAAAAGGGGGAGCAGGGAAAGGAGGGAGGAAAAAAAAAAAAGCCCTTGTTTTCATTCATAACTTTTTTTTTTTCTTTCTTTCCTCCCCTTCTTTCCCCTCCTCTTCCTTCCGCTCCGCGCCTCGCCCCGCTCGGGGCGCAGAGGGCGCCGCGCCGCCGCCAGCCCGGGGCTGGGGGGGGAGAGTTGCTGAGGTAATGGGCGGGAGCGCTGCCCCGCGGCGGAGACATCGCGGGCTGTGCGGCTTTGGGCGCGGAAACGTGAGGTTCCTCGGCGTGTTCGCCGTGTTATTGTATTTTATTGGCCTGGGAGGGGTTGAAGGGGGGCTTTTAAACTTGGTTGCTCGGGGTGGAGGTGGTTTTTTGAACTGTGCAGCTGGTCTTGTCAGTCTGCGAGCCGGGTTGATGTTGCGCTTTTCCCCCAAAGATGGCACTGAATGTCTTTCGCATTTCCTTGGGATATTATTTTTCATCCCCTGGGAAGTCCAGCTCCTGGTCGGTCCAGCTGTAAATCTTTCACTTTTCACATTCATTCACCCTTGGTCTGTTGTGGATTTGTATTCTGCGCTGGTGAAGAAGGCAGCTCGTTCTGTGGGGTGAATCAGAAGCGGGCGCACTTGGTTTTCCTTAATTCCCGTTTATCTGGCGACCCTAAAGCCCACAGAGTCGATATTAAATGTAAAATCAAATCTTTGGCTGCTGGGTGAGCACCAAGGCTTTGTGTCGTGGGAGAAGCTGTCGCTTACCATTTATTAGTGGTCAGGGTGATGAAGATGCAGAGTACCTGTTAGAAGAAACCTTTCCTGCTCTCGCTTTGCCTCTTTCTCTCGTGAGTGGGGAACAGCTCCATGCTGGCTGTGCTTTGGATAAACAAGGCAGATTCTTGCTCGTGATTACCAGATGAGTTTTGGAAGTGCTTGATAGCACTTATATTTCTCCTCTTTCAGGTAAACATGTGTGACATCTCAGAGGAAGAGAAAAGGGACTTTTTCCCAGAATGTCAATAAAGTGTTGTTTTTTGTTGTTTTTTTTTTTTTAATTGTTTTTTATTTTTATTTCTTGGTTCTCTATAAATGTGGCATTCAGGTGACTTGTCTGAATTTTCATATAGGTACAGAACTATCACTGCAGTTTTCTCGATGTTCTGATCTTCATGTTGATAACTAGGCAGACTGAAAAGGAATCAAAATATGTAATCTTTATTTAAAAGTCAGTCTAGAAGATGTACTTATTTGAGAAGCTTTTAATCTGTTTTTTAGGAAAATTGATTTGTTATTTTATTATATATTGTTGGTTGGTTTTGTTTGTTTTGTTTTTTTTTTTTTGGTCACCAGCTGTTAACATTCTGAATCTTGAGGTACTTTTTATGTGACACCTAACTCATTTTAGCCTTTTCTACCCTTCTTCTTTCACATGGTGGCCTGTGGTCAGAAAATACTTGAAAACGTGCTGTTCACACCCTTACTTTAATTTTTTAAGGAGCATATTAGATTTGTATGTTAAGTTACTCCCCTGTGGAAAATGCCTTGGCCACTTGACAGACCTTCGTTCAAGACTTTAACGCACACGCATCACTTCAAATAGGAGACTTCCCCAGTGCCAATCTGTTGAGCGCTGTTGCTGCAGATTCAGACAGAAGAGTGAGGATTGTGCAGGTTCTTTCTTCATTGTACCATGCAGAACACAACCCAGACTATGTTCCTGCCCTTTTCCAGCTTGGTTTGGGGGGCGTTCTCAGCATTGTTATTGCTGGTTAGACAGACTATCCTTGTTTCAGCGTTGAGTTCAGTAGCAAGTGAGAAGCACTTTGCATGGCTTGCCAAGTAAGTGTACAGGTTAGTACTCGAAATTTTTTATTTTTTTAATGGCACGGGGTCTCCTTGCATTCCACACCTATGATGCCATACTCAGACTCTCCCCGTTATTGGATTTTGGCCAGGTCCTCAGCACTGTTGTAATCCCCTGCTGAAAGAGATCAGTACCAGGTGGCTAGCGTAATTTGTGGTTTGCCATATCATTTCTGTTTTCAAGAAGTATCCTGTTCTTTATTCTTCTTTTGCCCTTGTTCTAGTGTATTTGTGTATACATGTACACATACAATGTTTATTTATACCTTCTGTCTTGCTATTATTATTTTAGGGTTTCAGATGCATGCCAAGTTCCCACTGAATGCCAGAAGTAGCAATCACTACAGATGGAGCCCCAAAGTCAACATGGCAGCGGTGGCTCACTAGTGGTGATTCAGCAGCCCTCCTTGGATAGCCGGCAGCGGTTGGATTATGATAGAGAGAGCCAGCCAGCAACCATCTTGTCACTGGACCAGATCAAGGCAATCAGGGGCAGCAATGAATACACCGAAGGTCCATCTGTGGTGAAAAAGTCTGGTCCGCGAACAGCACCAAGGCAAGAGAAGCATGAAAGGACTCATGAAATTATACCGATTAATGTGAATAATAATTATGAACACAGACCCAGCCACGTGGGGCATGTGGCACATCAGAGTAACACGAGGGCTCCCATCTTGAGCAGATCAACCAGCACAGGGAGTGCAGCCAGCTCTGGGAGCAACAGCAGTGCCTCCTCAGAGCAAGGGCTGCTGGGACGGTCACCTCCATCCAGGCCGGGGTCAGGCCACAGATCCGATCGGACAATCCGGACGCAGCCCAAGCAGTCATCTCTAGTTGTAGATGATCTGAAGGGTCCTCTGAAAGAGGACTTGACGCAGCACAAGTTTATCTGTGAACAGTGTGGGAAGTGCAAGTGTGGCGAGTGCACGGCCCCGAGGGCCCTCCCTTCTTGCTTGGCCTGCAACCGACAGTGCTTGTGCTCTGCAGAGAGCATGGTGGAGTACAGCACCTGCATGTGTTTGGTCAAAGGGATCTTCTACCACTGTTCTAATGACGATGAAGGGGACTCTTGCGCGGATAATCCCTGCTC